GGACGAATGTTGCCTCGCATCGAACCTAAGCCCGGTATTTTGGGTCAGAAATTGATCAACATTTGCCACTCGATCTCTACCCTTGTGTACTATTATCATGATTATTTTTATTATTATTGTCTTCATCATCACGAATATTTTCATCATCGATATTGTTCTTATTACTACATGACTTGTTATCACCAAGATAATAAGGAGATATGTAGAAAACATAACTTGACTTCGGGTTATAAACTAAAAACTCACGTTGTACTCTGCTGCCACTGTATGGCAAACAGGTCAAGTTCGAGTGCTTACTTTGCTTATAAACATGTTTGTTCAGTTGAGTCCCATCCGGTTCTACCCGGAAACAAATGAATCATTCAAATATAACATAGTAAGCTGTGAATTGCTTATGCATACGGTTCTACAGCAGCTTATGATAAAGTACATGTATATAGGCTAAGGAAACAGTTCCTCTATAACATTGCTCTACACGCAATTTCCAAATGAAAGAATTCCCACATTTGTGTGTATAGAAAAAAAGTGTACGTTTGGACTTGTATTCTGCGATGCTGCATCGGTGTGTACGAGTTAAAGTTACATGTACGTGATAGAGGGGACGAGGGTGAAGGAGGTTGCGAACCTAACTAGTCTCCCCAAGGCCCTTTGTCTTTCCACATGGATTGATTCGATTAATTGAATGGTTCATGCTTTTATTTATATTCCATGCACACAGAAAAAGGGAAACGAATTAGAGAGATAGTAGTAGTATGGAGTGAGATGTAACTAGTACATTCTGTAGACATTATAGGCATGGGTGCAAGATGTAAAAGCGAACAAAATAATTTGACAAAAATAATCATTGCAATTAAAGAGCTGTCTAAAGGTCTTTGTTCATACTGCTGTAGAAAATCACGTTTAAGTGCATTCCTGAAATAATATAAAGTTGGTGTCTCTTTGAAATCATGTGGGGCCTGTTAAAGTGGAAACATTACTAGCAAGTAGGGTTCTTAATTTTGGAAGGTAAAGGAGTCCACTTGCATGTTGTTACGGCAACTTCTGATATAACTCATTCTTACTGAGCATGTATCTTTAACATTTTGTTCTAGTGAAAGAGTGTATATGTGTGTGTGCTCGAAAGCCTGAATGAATTAATTCGTATGGCCTGTCTGGGTTCCTTTTTGGTAACAAGTTGGCACAACTGACACCAGTAAAACATTGAATACTCTCAATCTTTAGGTTGAGGATTAAAACCTCAGCCCCGGGTTTTTCAGTTACACATTTCCGTGTAAAGTTCAGGTTAATTTTAGTAGCTTTCTGTAGAAAGTACAAATCAGATTGTCACAAGCATTTCATGAAAAAATGGCAAGAAAATGTATTGGCCATACCAAATATTATGGGTAACACTGTATAATCGCCATTTATACTGGTATGCACCAAAATACAGTGACTTCTGTTATACTCATTAACATTTTTGTTGTGCGAATGTTTACGTCCTCATCCATATTCCATATTCAGTGAAAAATGATAAGGCCATATGAATTCAGATTTTTTTCTTTCTCTAACCAAATACAAATGCATCATTCAAAATATACAAAGTTATACAGCCTGTAGTCAGAGACAGGCGCGTACGCAAACGGGGGGGGGGGGGGGGTGGGTATCGGTGTGGGTATCGGTGGATTACCCCCCCCCCCCACTCTGTGCTAAAGGATGAACAAAATTGACCCTACCCCCCACCCCCCTCCCCACTGAACGAAATATCGATCGGCATAACTTTCCAATTTTCGGGACAAAAACAATATTTAAAGTTTGTGCTCTTACCCCCCCCCCCCCCCCGTTTTTTCAGCGGCGGGTGAGTCGTTGCGACTTATCAGTTTTTTTTCAATTTTTGTTTTAATGTCAAGGCACCCTTTGGAAAAGATGAGAGGACACTTTTTTTTTTTTTTGTCACGAAATTTAAAAATTTGACATTTTGCTCCGTTGGGGGGGGGGGGGGGGTAAGGTCACAATTTTTAGGTCAGCCATTGGAATTATTTTTATTTATCTTTTATTTGTTTTATTATTAAAAAACAAAACAAAACAAAACAAAACAAAGGGGGGGGGGGTTTAGGGGGGTTATACACAAACAAATACCAAAGGGGGGGGGGTTAACCCCCAAACACCCCCCCCCCTGCGTACGCACCTGTACAGACATATTTGATTCTTAATTAAGTCACATATATTAACAGTATGATATTTATCAGACGTCATAAGATTGAGTGAACATTATGCCCTAATATATTATAAATGTTCTCAATAATCCAGGAAGTATATGTTGACACAAGCCAACTCAACTGATTTCTGTCTAGCTTGCAACGATTCACATTCAGTCCAGGACGCATGTTCATAACATGTCAAATTATTCAAGTTTAGACATTTCCTTGCTATGGGTTTTGTTTTGATTTGTTCTGTTTTGTTTTGTTGTGTTATTCTTTTTCTTGTTTTTTTTTGGTTTAGGGGGGGGGACCTGTAAGAGCATGGACCTACTGGTAGGTCCATGCTCAGAGTTATACAATTTGTTAAAGAGATTTATTATGATTTGGATGCAAGCTAATATTTTGTTTGTATCTGCAATGAACTAATTCCTAAAGATATAAGGTAAATAACAACAACACTGATCACATATTTCTTACTACAATTCTTGTTCTTGGTTGAGAGGGAGATTTTAATTCTTATTTTTATTCGATTGGCAGCAATCCCATATTGCTTTTCATAAATTAAAGAGGTCGTGATCGCTTGGATCACTTCAATTTTATATTTTGTGGTAAATTTCGACACAGAAATGCAACTCTTTATTTTAGGTTCAAGGCTTTTCCACAACACTGAATCACTAAATGTGATTGTGGTTTCGAGAAAATTGATACTTAAATTTAGGAATGCTAATGTGACTGGACAGTCCAGTAGAAAATGGAACAAAAAAAAATAATTCATGAACACTATCATCTCGAAACTTAGACAGCATGTGCTTCCTTAGCGGATGACATTATGAGTGAGGAAATGGTTTACAGTATTGAATGCAACTCAATATAACGTTGATTTGTGTGTGCGTGGGGGGGGGGGGCTGTGTGCCCGTGAATATGTGTTGCGTGTGTTATTGCAAAATTGCAACGCGGAAATTCCCAGTTGCTGCGGTATCTAGTGTAGATGTTGCCTGTTGACGGAAAATACATGAAATCTCAATTTAAAAACGATATCTAAATACTTATACTAGGATTAGTTCTCGACTGGTGAAAGAAAAAAAAAATATTGTGCAAGAAAAGAACTCCCTGGAAGTATTTAGGAAAGAATTGTGTGATATATGTGAGAATTGGTCTAAGCTGGGAGGTTTTGAAATCATCAACAAGTGTTGATAATTCGACATTTAATCTTGCTGAAAGTCGTATGTGCTGCACAGAGTAACACGTGTATTGCACTACAGAATAACATGATTACTGCCGCACTACAATTGTGGAATTAAAGTTTGGTTCCCAAATTTCACCTCTTTCTTGTCCTATTGCGAATAAGTGAACAATTAAAACACAATCCTTTACAGGGTCATTCCGTTCTTACTTTACTTCATTCTCTTCACTTTCAGATGAAACGGCTCAATCATTTTTTTTTTTTACATTGGGTCGTTTTAGGAACGTGATAGCATCGGTAAATATTAGACTGAAATGGGCTCGTAGCAGCACAATGGTTATTTCATGAACCCCGATATTTGAGGAAAGAGGTTTAATACAAACGATTGCTTATGTCTAGAAACGATATACAATCTTATATAAATAAGACCGAAATGCTTCTACATTTTAATATTTTGGTTCGGTTCTAGTTATATAAATAAGCATACATTTATGAATCTAATTATAACTTGTCATTCGTTGGAATAATGGAGGTGTCGTGGTCTAATGGATATGTCGCTGGACTGTGAATCACATGGTTATCGGTTCGAGTCCCTTTTCAGCCCTATAATATAATATCGAAAACATGGGTAGGAAGAAATTCCTTGAATGCAATGAGCGTCTTATGTCATTGTACTTAAGCAAAGGCCAGGATAATCATTTGAGTGCTAGGCCCTCAGGAAGCACAGCATAAGTAATGATGAGGCTACCCTTACTAACCAAGACATATTCCCATTATTTACTTGTGTATAATAATATTATAAGTATTAGTAGAAGTGGAAGTATTGTTATAATTATAATCATTATGATGATGATGATGATGAAGTTGATTATCATTATAATTCTTATTATTCTTTTTATTATCACTATTAATATTATTATTATTATTATTGTTATTATTATTATTACTATTAGTATGTATTATTAAAAGTATGAACAGTAATACGATCACAAAATGAACCAGCTAATCTTCCCCTACTTCACATCTGATTCAACCCCTTCCCCTGAAATGGGGCTCTCTCTTGGTCCCAAAATGATATCACAGATACAATAATCGGCCCTTGTCTTCACCGTTTTAAAAATGCAATCAAAAACAAAAAACATCTTTTCTGCCTACATAAACATGATTACACCAAATTACATCAACAACAAAAAAGCTGTGCGTTGGAAAATCTCTCACAATCTCTCACGCGCTCTCTCTATCTCTCTCTCTCTCTCTCACACACAAACTCACACACACAAAAACACGCACACACAAACACACACATCACGTCTCATCCATGTCTCATTTTGCTAATACCTAACATGAAGAACAAAAAGGAAATTTCCAAACTACCTTTTCAAGCGTTATATTCTTATCAAAAACCATCACATTTATAAAAAGATTCATCCTTATATATGAACGTATAATAACAAATGTTCAAGAATATGAATCTTTGGACATATCAAAAAGATATTCTGACAAAAGTTATCTCCAACTACATTATCTAGGTTAGCCTGTTTTGCACTCTAAAATATATAAGTGATTTAAGTAGTAGAGTTTTAATGTCAGTATAAAGCTACTTATATCATCGAGATGCAGGCAAAAAATACACTTCAAAATGATTTAATCAGTACTTTAATTATACAAGTTACCAGAGTTATCATGGTTACATGTCCCACTCAAAAGACGCACTTCAAGAAACTTGACACCACATTAGACGTACGTAGCACTACATTAGTAGAAAAACGATAAGAAATAACCGGCGAGATATGTACACTGTTGGTCATAATGGTGGAATAATTATTTTTACCCCAATTTATTGAATGATTTTGACAATGACTTATTCCTAATATATCTAGATTATAGTATACATTCTCAGATTTTATTGAATGACAATTGGGGAGTGTTTGTTTTGCGTGACTGCTAAAGCGTGTGTGTGCTACTATGCTAATCAACTAGGGGACCCACGTCCTTAAGTCATAATTGACAGTAATGGGGATTAATGCCTCATAAAAGGGCACTAATATACCACATCGACATGGTTTTGATCCTGGGGGCTCACAGTAACGAGGCCATTGCTAAACCAACGAATCATGACTGTACGCAGCGGGCGCTAGGGTACGTCGACGCCCCCACAACTGAAAATGCAATATTTTTAGTTCATTATTTACGATTTCATGACTTTGGACTCGATTTCAACCGCGATAACGATCACTGAATATTGTAGGATCGCATATGCTTCCAATATATTCATTTGAACCAAATTTATGACCCCATACCAAAACTTTGTATTACCTTTAAGATTAACCTTACAAATAATACGGTTATACGCGTGGGAGATAATCAGAAACGAGAGAGGTCTCAGAGCCACATAAACACATAGCTTTGGCCTACTGGGCTGTAGTGAGTGTCATCAATATTATGCATTTTGTTTTGTTACTGCTGCGTGAATATCAAAACCAAATCAGCTATGGCGCCCCACCCCCACGCCCATTACATGCCCGCCCCTTCCTACCCCACCACTCTCTGCCGACCTGAACCATGCCATTTTCTTACATAATATTTTGTTTAACAAATTAAAATTAATGAAAATATGTTTAACGACATAATATTACATGGAGTCATAAATATCAAGGAAAACACATATGAAGCGGGTGATATTATAATGAATCCTGCTTAGCTGGGCCAGGCTCGGAGCACGGGAGCAGAGACAAATCTTTGGTTGGGAGAAAGAGTTTGACTTGTGCAAGGAACTCTTAATGATTGAGGATCTGAATAGTCAAACTATAATATAAACTATTTAAAAATGGTAACCTAGTGCGAGCTTATATCCGTAACGACAAAACATTCAAGGTTGTGGGCTTTATTGGGTAACAGGACCCACAGTTTGAAGCATTTATGTTACTTTTTATTTAATGAAACCTAGCATGCGTTAAGCATTTGTGATCTTTTATGTACAATGGAATATAATTTTGAATGTGGGATGTTATTGTAAATATATGAAGATACATATTTATGGCGTATAATCATACTATTGGTCACCTCTAGAATAACAGTCAAAAGGAATGTTCGAAAATTAATGGAATGTGTTAGTTGCCTTGGGATCTGCAGCACTGTAGTTGTGGTCTAAAGACACGTGATGCAGCTTTGCGAGTAGATTCACAACGAAATCACAATGTGGAAAAGCATCATGAAAGCATATGTACAGCATTAACAACAATAATAAATGATTTGATTCAGATACCAAGGTCTTACAAGTAGAAGAGAAAATAGTATTGAGGGAAGAGTAAACTCAAATGGATAGATTTGGGGAGCAAAATATGTAAATTATAAAAATAGTGATTCCTCACTGACAATGTAGATTACCTCCTTGCTAAATTATGCCGGAAGTTCAAGACTGATGTTTCAAATTAATCATGTGGACAAGATCGCAAAGACTTTCGATAATTCAACTAAAGAGTAAATTAAATATCACATTGTGTATCCCACTGAAATCAGGTTCACATTACGTCGTATGCAACTGGCAGTGATGTTCACACATATTTCAATGGGTGATGGACCAAGGATTCTTAACTTCTGCTGATATTATTTTCAATAGTCTTTGCGATCGCGTTCATTATACAAACATTTGTGGAAACCAAGAAATAGTTACATATCTTTGTACTCAAGCCCCCCGCACTGAGCTTCTTTTAAAGCTTCATCAAGAACTCCCACTTTTCCACCTTTATCAGTTTTCCATTTCATCAACATTTTAAAATTAGCATCCTTAAATGATGATTGATTTTGCAACTTGATATTGTCGTAATCGGTGTATTGAAGCCCTAAGTGAATGGCGACATCCGTGTAGGAGTCTGCAGGAAGGCAACCTGCCAGTTTCCTAAGTTCCTTGTCCGTGACGATTCTATGAGTAAATGACACACACAAAACAAAAAATCCATGTTAACCTTGTTAATGGTAATTGGTAATAGCATGATTTTATAATTTCGTCTTATTTAACCGAGGTAGTCACACGATTATTAATACTAATTAACTTTCTAAGGGCACTGGTGTCAATAATATCCCCATCTTTGCTAGGTACACATTGGATACACCGGGATCGAGAGGGACATGTGTGGCCAAAATAGCGAGCAAGGATAAAACCCTTTGAAAGTCAAGAACCTTGACCAATGCAGGCCTCCTACATACATAACCTTCATATAAAATACAAAGATTACTTTGTAGTGAAATAGTGCTTAAATTTCCATAATTCGTATATCAGATTATGTACTTATATATGGAAACACATGCATGACGATTATCTCTCTATGGCACTATAAATTCGCAATGTAATAATTAGTAATTCTTCCCCCCCCCCCCCTCCCCCCTCAGCGGCTGGATGATTCGCTGGAAAATATATTCTCACAAATTGGACCAAAACATATATATATATATAAACTTGTCAAGTACAGCTACGTCTCACGTTCCTAGACCATTTTCTTCACGCCTACATATTCTGGAACACCCGTTGTCATGTCAGAGTTGAGAATTCTCGCACTTTTATATATATATATATATATGTAAGTGCTCTCGCCCCCCCCCCCCTTCCCGGTTTTTCACCGGCAGGATGAGTCGCCACTAAATATTTTCTCACGAATTGCCCCCACCCCCTCTTGATACAGGTTGGATCCGCCCCTGACTGTTGACATATATATATATATATACATGTTTATATGTCTGTGTGAGAATGTGTGTGCGTACAATGCATTGTTGTCTTTTTTGCAGTATATGAAAACATTATATATACCTCTCCGAGCTTGGTGGCAAGGTTGGGTTACCAACTGTGGAAATAATAATAAAAACATTAATTATAAAGCGCTTACCACCGAAGTCTCTAAGCGCTAAAAAGTATGTTCCAGGTATAAACTTCCTCCACTGGTGCAAATATTAAATCACGAGGATTACAACAAGACACTAAATTTCACAGAAAACGGAGGAGCACATAAGAGAGAGAAAGAGAGAGGGTTTGGTGTCATATTAACCGAACTCTGGACGCTGTTTCATACAGTGTTCTTATCAAGTGTACACGTTACAATTACTCTTATAAGTTACTGATATCGTTGCATTTAAAAGACTGTAAGCATAATTTATATAGGAATGTGACACTGTCATTAATAAAAGTATTATGAAACTGTTAAAACGAACATGGTCAAAAAATGACCAGTACTCACTCTAAAAAACGATTGCTATATTCACTTAATGCAAATACATTCCGAGTGTAAAATGTACCTGACTCAATAAACTACTTATTTTGTTTTTGTTCTCAATACAGATTTATGTATGCTGCTAAATGCCGTATCGTTTGTTGAATGTGTTTATTATTGTTTAACATTCACTCTATACGAATAAGAGTTTAAACTAAAACACGATCGAAAACTATTTAAAACAAGTTTATATTACTCTTTCATTTTTTATTTATTAAAGATGGTAGATGGTCTTTATGATTCTCATATTTGGAATGGTTTTCTTTTGGACGTTCACTGAATTCTGAAACTATGCTGATATTTAGAAAAAATGTAACTTTGTATGAGTAATATAAGGGGGGGGGGTATTCTTAACAAGTTAAAATGATAACTTTGACCTTTCATAATTATTCTCCTGTATTCCAAGTCTATAAAGAAAATTAAATCACTTTGACCTAAACTATTCTAGCAGACTGACGATTGTTAAATGGGACTAAATTAAGAGATTTCTGGCACATACAGAAAGAAAGGACATAAATGAGAGTCTAAGTTCAGAGACAGTTTATTTAAATTACCATTGACTTCCATGATTTTTTTTCCTGTCAGAGAGAATGGCCACCTAAGAACCTTTGTTGAAAGTAATAGTTTCGACATACATGTATTTCACTAAATCAGATTAGTTGAAATATAACATTTGACAAAGCATACATGGAAAGGATACCCTGATGGAGTCATTTTGAAACATTCACATAGCGGGCCCCAATGGCCAAAACATTAAGGTTTGCTTAGAAATATGCGACTACCTGTGTGAAAAAACAGGTGCTTTTATCGAAAGCTTTACAATTGGATTAAAATCTGAAGTTTTGCCGCCTCATTATCATGTCCATGGTCTGCTTTGAAACTTTTGAGCAGTGCAAACAAATTATTTTTTAAATTGTAATTCGAATTCTCTTTTTTTTCTGTATGAAATGCATCACTGAACTATTGTATACAAATAATCTCTTACCGGTTATGGGAGTGTTTAGATATTTGGCTGCCAGGTTATCAAATCCAGCCTTGAGTAGTGCCTCCCTCAATGCCGCATTTTCCGTCGAAGGTGTTTGTTTATTTCGCCACGTCCTTAGCAAATCCAATGTTCCCATATAATTCCCTCCTTGTCTGGCGTTTTCGTCAGTTTTGCGACCAATCTCTGCTGGTCCAAATCCCAAGGCCTTTCCGAGATTATCGATGTCTGACTTTTTGAATATGTCCTCGGCTATTTTCTTTAAGATGTCGTCAAAATCGTTGATGTCCACGGAGCTCATTCTGTAGTTAGTTATTCAAATAATCAGGATAAAAATGTACAATAAATGAGTACCCGTAGCAGTTAAAATGCAAGAAATTTCACCAATAGGGCTTTCTCAATGACAACTTGATTATGAAATAATGATGAATAACGACAGCAGCAGCAGCACCGGGAAAAACAAAACAATTTCCGTCAGTATCAATGTAGGTGAAAAGTTGAGAGGCACAGGGCCAAGAACACCAAAATATAAGCTAGTGATAATTACACAACAAACTACGTCAACGACAGTACCAAACAGTAACAGCAATAACAAAACAGATACAGTTTGATTTACAAGAGGAGATCGCAAAGGGTGAGAATTAAGAACATATTTTGATGAATTTATATTCAGTAATTTGGGGCTTTGACTGATATTGAAGTTTTGGTATACTAAGAAAAAATAAAGCTGAACACCAGTTAAAAATACTTTTTCAGTCAGATAAAACATTTACAAGTGACACAAGGTAAAATTTACATTATATAATAAAAAGGTTAATTGCCTGTTTAGACACTCACAATAATTTTTTTCCCGTGTGCTTTCTGGCTCAATTTGGTATACCATAGTTTTTGTGTATATTTTTTAAAAGTAAAATGTACCTTTTTGGCAGCGAGGAGTGTTCTTATTTGACAGCGAAAATGATAACTAAATCATACTTGTACTTACATATAGTTGCCGACATATCTTAGACGCTCTGTGATCTATCCGTATGACTATTTATGAGTATATAATACTAAGGCTAGCAAAGCTAATCATTTCCCAATAGCTAGCAATATAGCACTATTAAAGACAACGACCTTTTCACCTCTACCTTCTACAATTAGATTATGCTCAAATAATCGCGCTCTATTAATAGTGTGGCATCATGTACAAACAGTACAATTGTGCGAATATTAAGGAATGGCGATATACATGCACCTCTGTATATAGTTTTTCCGGTTATCGAACAGCGGTCTGTTTATGTGCTAAATATGTTGATATGTGGCAAAGTAGCTAGATTGTGTCCTAATATCTCACTATGACGTCTTTTTAGGCTAACTTCAGGAGGCACAATTATAGAACGGAGAAATATACACACTTACCTGACTTATTCCTCGTCCTTATCAATCTAATAACGAAATCGATGTGCTAGTATATAATGGTAGGCTTCTGCAGTCAACCTTACACACGCATAAAAGTCTGTACTTTATATAACGCTTATATGCTTATGCAGTCATCCTTACAAATGCATAGAGATCTGTACTTGACCTGGCCCAAACGGGGATTTTTGATTCCTTTCATCGCAGTCTCGCATATACTGAGCGTTGTAGGGGTAGGCGAGAAGCGAACAGTAGAGGGTAGTATACTGTTTGTATACCAAAACGGCATTCAGGACACATTGTGATGATAGGAAGAGGGGTTGCTGTTTATTTTAAAAGCCGGTCCGATTGCAACGTCTTAAATGTGGCTATATACATTATTTTGAATGAGAGCACATCTTGAATATTAAAATTTCACATATTTATGATCAGCATTGTTCTTCTTGTATTATTGTTAGAGGTTTGACTTTAGTTCATTCTATTTAGCAAACAATACATGAATTCATGTCAATAAAATAAATGACTCAAACGGAATGTCAATACTGAACACAGACCTGCTAAAAAAGTATTTGAGAAATCACCATTATCGTAATCATATAGGGTAAATCACTATATTCATTTACTGTTTGTATTATATTTGCTTTTAAACAGCGAGAATAAAGCCATGCATCAAAGTCTTATGAACCCGTTTGTGCGTTTCTATTTATAAAAGTTATCATAATAGTCAGACTTTAGCGACCACCTGCTGTAGCGACCACCTGTACAAAAATACCACATGTCTATAAAGATCTCATTATCTGTTTCCATTGAAAAATGTTTTCAATGAAACATAGTGTAATAGAAACATGTATTTAAAGACCCCCCTTTTATAATGGCCCCTTTTCTTGTCATCCTTTTAACGCCCTGATAAACAGGTTCCACTTTAGAAATCCAATGATAAAATCGGAGTAAGTGGAATTCCTATCGAAATCTAAGGCATGTTAGATATCGCTTTTGCATGAAAAAAGGAAATTAATTTTGCGACTGAATATCGTATATTATTTTCGCTTAATCTCTATAACCAACATTTGTTGGTACTTCATGGAAATCGAGCCTCAACACATCTTAACACATATTTAGGTATTGCAGTAGCTTTTACATCACCTAAGGAGATTCAAAATGACTGTAGGAAGTAAAGAAATTGGTATTGAAATTACCCTTAAGGTTTTCCGCTTCTCGCCTTCTTCCGTATCTGAATTACTTACCGTATACTCTATGTTGAAATCATTGTTACATATATAATTTATATATATACATTGTGTTTCATATTGTGCTCTTGAAAAGGAAATAAATGTTAATAAATACAATACAAATTTCTTGAAAGTTCTGTGCGATCCTGTTCCTCAAATCCTCAGAGTATCTCATCATCGTGGTTCATTCACACCACGCTTAATCATAGGGTTTAAGGTTCGAATCCTAGCACTGTAAACGATGTAAACGAGTACCTGGCAGTTGGTGGGGGTAACACTTGTATAAATGCAGGGCCCGAGGGAAAAGCAGTTTTGGTAACGATGTGACTACGACTGGTACATAAGACTATATTTTTACTTGCAGAATACTCTAAAATTCTCTTCTTATCCTCAAGTCCTTATGCCCTTAAAAACCAAAAAAAAAAATTATTTTACCTGACGTAAATATGTGCTATGATATTACTTGGGGTAACCTATAACAATAAACTAAATTAGAAATTTAATATCAATACCCTACTACCCTAATTATGAAGAGCTTATTTCACAACTAACTGTTTTATTTTTAAAACATGTCTTGATGATGTCCCGCATCTTCCAGTAATTTGATCTTGTACTGGGCTTTTGTGTGACATTGTGTGATAGTTATAAAGGAAAATTTACATAGCCTAAACACGATATGGGAAAAAATGTCCCTATTTCCTTCCTTTCTCTTGCACTGTCTTTCTGAATGAATACATAAAACCAGGGTTTTACAGACATACCAACCGCCCCTTGTCTTAACCTTTTTAAAGTATATCTAAATACATCTCTTCAGCTGACCGAAAATCATAGAATATCGAGTCACATTAAAAGCAATACGCAGAAGAACCTCTCTCAGTCTCTCATCTGACCTCTCTCTCTCCAACACACACACACATTCACTCACGCACACATAATTATTCTCTCGCATTCATGTCTCATTGTGCCGATCCTTAGGAGGAGGAAAATAAAGGAAATGTCCAGAATGCGTTTTTTAAACTTTATATTCTCGTTTACAGCATCAAGTGCACAAACAAAATCATCATTATACACGAATTTTAACATGGTATGAAAAATATTCGAGAAAGCGAATATTTGCATATGAAAAATAATTTTTGACATTTTGCGCTCTAAATGATATAAAGTGAAATGTGTTGTATTATGTTGATGGCTTTTTAAAGCTAATATATATTATCATCAAGATACAGGCAAAACACACTTCACAGCTGTATACTCGGGGCTTTCATTACAAAAATTGCACGAGTTACCATGATTACATAGAAAGGTGCACTTTTAGAACGGTGAAATCTCATTTTGGCTTATGCAACACTACATAAGTAGAAAAAGATAAGACACAAATTGGCGCTATACATGTGAAGAGCTTAATTCCAAAAGGAGCTAAATCCACTTTTGATGAAAATAGAGTTATTGATATCAGAACATTGTTCACTTTAGTACCTGTCTTTGAACAAAATTATTTACTTAAATTTTTGGAGCAATTATGAAAAAAAATGCAATTTCTAATATCATTTTTCCATAGACGCCTGTACAAAATCTGGTAAACAAAGGCTTTTTTCTCCGAAGTTACAAACATGGATTTAGCTCCTTTTGGAATGAAACTCTTCATGTATAAACGATCACATCGAAAATGAAAATTTTGCCTACAGCAAAGGTAAAGAAATACTAAACGACTACAATTATACATTTGCACATTTTTACCTTATTTTTTGTTATATTTTCTTGTGGAGCTTCCAGGAACAATGTGAAAATGTTTGTAAGATCGGGGTTTCTTTAGCGACGCTCAGCAATTACAAAAAATAATTAAAGCATGGTATGGATGTAAAACCTAAGTTAATCACGTTCATATAACTTGTTGTTCGTTGCATTACAGGACTTCCCAGGACATTAAGTCGAAGCTTGAAAACGAAAAGTTATTTTGAACAAAGAGTATGCTGCATTGTATAATTCCTTCTTTTCGTAAAGTAGGGGGAATACGCTTTCAAATTATACATTGGTTACTTTAATTTATACACTCTTCACTGATCAAGATTGTGTTCAGATTTTGCTTAAACTGTGAAAACGTTAGGATCACATTCAGACGTTATCGACTATGCACTGAATGAAAAACAAGCTTTAAAAAAGAATGAGAGGAATGTTTTTATTTTCTCCTTTTAATAATAAGGAAATGAGGAATGTCATCATAAAATAAAAGATAGTGGAGATATTGTCGACGGTGGAGTTAATAAGGGCACTATGAGTAATCAGATGGGTCTTTAATTGTCACGAACCATTCGATATAATTATTAATATAATTATTCATTATGTAAATCAAACAAAATGTTGTCGAACTGATTTAAGGCTGTTAGTTTACATCTTATACTGATCTCTTAGTCCTCCGACTTCTGCTTTCACGAGAGCTTTATCAAGATCATGAATAAAACCACCTGTCTTTGTACTCCATTTTTTCAATATATCCTCAAACGCAGCAGAATAATTTGATTGACATTTGGTTACAATGTTGTTAGAGAAGGCTATATCATATCCCAGTTCCACGCATAAAACGGTGTAGTTGTCACCTGGAACGAGTTTTGACAGTTTTATGATTTCTCCATCACTAACTCTTCTTTCGCCAGACCTGCAATATTGAAAAGAAAGGCAATTAAGTTCAGCATCAATAGGAACCTGTTGTATGTCTACAGGAGAACTTGATTTCTGTATATTTATGCATCTAGATTTCAAACCCCTCTGTTATTAATGTTTCTTTTTACTTATACTTCATAGCTGTAGGGGCTATATTACAACAACTGTATAGATACTGAAAGTATTTATTCTCTTTCTTTTACATGTTTTATCCTACTCATGTTTAAGTTATGTAAATAGTGCTTTTGTGATTTTATCAATGAGTTCAAAGTTTACCATTTTTTCAAGTGGATTTGGCGCCTTAATCAAGCTTAATTACGATTAATGTTATTATCTTTATTATTAGTATCAGTGTATATCATCTTCACCAGCAGTTCAGCAAATCAATAAACCGAAATATCTTTTTCATAATTGCAGGCCAAATTAAATATATGCCTCATTGTTTATTAACTTGGATTTTTCAAATAACATTTGATATTTATCAATGCTTATCATTAAAATGATAAAGACCAAAAAGTATTTAATATGTTTAAAGTTATTATGTAGTAGCACCTATTTAATATGATGGGTGATTAATGTTATTTTGAATGTATTAAGTAGAAATCCTCTAAAATGAAGAAGGCCTAAGATGGAAAGTTGACTATTTGCCATTATATGAAAATACTATACCTGTTAAAGTGTGTTCCCTGTGTCACGTTAGACAATGGCATCATTGATGAGTTGTCACCTGTTAGATGAGAAAATGTATGCCATTGCATATTAACATAAATCAAGGCTGTAAACTGGGCATGGTCAAGGTGTTCACATAATAACGAATAATCACTATGAATAATAAAGGGAAAATTATCTTCATTTACCCATATGATTTATATACCGTGTTTAATGGCTCTAATATAAATCTACTGTTCTAAATGTTGTTGTTGTTCCTGATGTTGTTGATTTATTTGATTTAATTAAGTCTTAATTTGCTAGGGTGGCTCCATGATTGATTTCGACAGTGTTTGACAACAAGGCCCTGTTAATTACAATTATAATTTAAAGAGTATAATACAAGATACATACAAAACATGATCAAACAAACAGCAAGTACCAAAGTAATATACGAAACAATAAATGTTCACTCAGCGAAAAGCAAATCATCCGTTTCCAACTTTGAGATCAAAATTTGACATTGTTTTGGAATAATAAAACCGTGAATAATATTACAGCATTCTGTCATTGAACCATAAACTATTTTTGTAATCGTTGTTCTTGCTGTTCTTGTCTCTTTCGAAACAATAACCTGAGGATAAAACGAGAAAACATTGAGCCAAAGGGAATAACTTAAATAATACATTAAGCAAAATTTACCCATGCCACTGATGGGGACAAATTCGTCAGCAAGACGAACTAATCCAGCATCCATTAATGCTTTCTTGAGGGCCGCTTGTTCTGTTGCCTTGGTTTGCTTTTTGTCCCAGTCCCGAAGCATTGCCAATGTGCCATTGCTGGTAATGTTTTGGTATCGCGAGTTCGTGGCGACGTATCTGTCAATTTCGACGGCATCAAAACCGAGCTTCTTTCCCAACTCATTCATGGTGTCATTTGGAATCTTCTTAGCAAGCGCTATCAGAACGTCATCGAAGTCCAATGCTTCATTGGCAGCCATGTTCGTTCAATATAATATCTGAAATAATGTTCTCTAAAGCTGTTTAGCACTACCGGTATCGTTTTGTGTCAGGATTTAAATCAAATGTTGTCTTCATATTTCCTAACTGAATTCATCATACTCAAATGTTAATATACGTGTGTTTGCTTTGTAGCCGAGTCATCACCATTATGGTATTTGCACAATGATTTTTGTTAATCAAAGTCCAAATTGCAATACCTCAATCCATGCGTATATCTAATACATGGCTTTAAAACAAACAAAAAAGATATAGTCACAAAAAACAAACACGTAGCTTTACCGTACACTGCCGCAAAATCCGATCTGTTAGGAAAATTCGGCAGATACGATAAATGTAATATTTTAACAAATTGATTACGCATTGATACATAACTGTTTCAAAAATAATATACTTACTTACTTTTTCAAAACTGGAATCTCTGGGCACTCGACACAAAATTTAAGCCTCTGACTGGTCTATGAAGATGGTGCTATTTACGATTCGGCGCCCCATGTTTAGATAAATGATTTAAGGGATCATCAGAGTAAACTATGCAATATTTGTATGATTTGTTTTCATCTATAGGCAATATTTTAACATTGCTTTGATGTTTCCCAATGTGAAATAAAGATTTCGGTGTAACTAATTGACGCCAAGTGGTTCTAATTTCTTCATACCGAAGTCTTGTATACGATGAGTGCTGTTGTGCGTCAGTACCATCGTAAGCGAGAAGCGATTATCTGCCCTTGATTCAAGGGCGACGAATTGCTTGTAACAGTTGGTACATCTACCGAAATTGTTCCTTTTATGTGGAAAAAAGATGTCCCAAGCCCATTCACAAAGGGTAGATGAAAAACTTGGCGATACTTAATTTGTGAGACTACAGCATACTCTTAGATTTCGTCTAATACTTGTTTTTAGTCTCCACGAGGTGTTTAGAATATTGCTTTCTCGTAATACGTTGCGTAGTATAATATCCTAATTTTTAATTTATGAACGCGGGATGAGAGCAAGCACTTTAAAAAAAAATTAATTAAAGAATATATAATTTCTTGTATTGGGTTCCAATGCTCACGTTGATACAACTATTATTATCATCTTGCTCTGGATTAGGGAGCGGTTTATGCTTATAAATGTGTTTGCTGGTCTATTGCCGTTTGATCTACACACATCGCGTTTAATAGCCACATTGTTAAATAATCACTTCGTCTACTTATCAGTTGGTCTAATTACAATTTAGGCTAATAGTCATTCGATCTAATTTCCAATCAGTATACAACCATTTTGGTTTATTACTCATGAAGTCCAATATCCATTTCGTCTAATTCTCAGTTTGTCTCATTCTCAGTTGCTGTACTATTCTTAAAGTCGACACATTATTTTATAATTATCATCATTTATGAGTAAATTATTCGTTTACCATGTGGTAAGTAAACAAAATGGGCATTAGACAAACTTAGAATTACACCGACTGGAAATTAGACTAAGTGAGCAGTGTACCACATGGTTGATAGGCTTATTTGAGATTAGACCATATGGAAATAATACCCAATGAATATGACTAGTCTAAATGGTCATTAGACCAAAGGATAAGTAGACAAAATGGGTATTAAACCATGTGGATAGTAGATCACATGGGAATAGACTAATTGGGTAGTTAACAAAATTATGGTAGACCAATTGTGATGGTATTATTTATTTATTTATTTATTTATGCATGTTCATAATTTCACAATTCATTGAAGTTAACATGACATGAAAAATTAATATAATATAACAAATCATTTTCAATTTTACAATACATTTCAATTAACTTCACGTGAAAAAGAATATAACATTTTTTGTATCAAAGACAAGTTTATGCAAGGTAGTTTTGTTACTTTTAAAAGCAAGCCCGATCGCAACGTATTAAATACTACTCTATAAGGATTTTGATTGAGAGCACATTTTAAACATAAAAGGAAATATAATTAGTTAAAAGTAAGCACATTCAAATTTGGACAGTGCTGGGGTGATTTTTCAGAATATTGGTTTACGTAAACACTTCACAAATTATAATGAAAATTAATGTTCTTATACTAGCGTTTGAGGTTACAAAATAATTCATTCATTCTAATTAAAATACAATACATCTAATTTTTAAAGAGTCTCTTTCTTTATCATTTACAATAATACCAGGTTTGTTGATAATAAAATGGCACCATTTCTTGTCGACTGGTTTTGCCTTCTTATCATGGTTTTACAGAATATTGAGAGGTGCTTGAGCCCCAAAGCGCCCACATCCCCCCCCCCCCTCCCCCGAACAGCTACTACTCCCAAGGTGCAATAAAAGTCAATAAAATAAAATAAATAAATAAAATAAATACATACGGATTGTCACTATGGAAGACAGACCTGCTAAACAAATATTTTGGGAAATCTTCATTACTTGTTATCTTAATATTCCTACTGCAAATAGACTTTGTTTATGATTACTATACAAGGTCCGAAAGCTATTTGTATATATTATTTGCATTTATGAAATACACCGTGAATATAACCATGTATCAAAGTCCTATGAACCCGCTTGATCATTTATATTTATACAACTTATCATATACACTTTAACCTGCTTTAGCAAACACCTTTACCGAAACCACCTGTCTATCAAGACCGTATAATCATTTGTATTGAAAAGGAACGTATATAAAGACCACCCGGGTATACAGGCCGCTTTTCCTGCCACCCCCCCCCCCCCTCCCTTGAGCGGTCTTTATATAGAGGTTTCACTGAAAAAAAATCCATTGAGAAAATCGGAGTAAGTGGATTTTGTATAAATATTTTAAGCATATGACACATTTCTAATTTGCGTTATGTTATGATTTTTTGCGGGTATATAATGATCTTTGCGCAATCACTTTAACATATATTTATTGGTGCTTTATATAAATTGATCATAAACATATCTTAACAAATCTAAAGGTATTGCAGTAAGCTTTTCTATCACCTATGACTATGAGAATTAAACCAAAAATGGTATAGAAATTACCCTTAAGTTTATTTCTTTAAAAAATCTTTGAGATCGCGTTTTCATCGGATCCTCTCAGAGTATGTCTTTAAGTGGTTCATTCACTTGGCTCTTAGCCCAAGGGTTTTGCAGGTTCGAATCCCAACCCAGCACTATCGTCTTTTGGGAAGACATTCATCCATTTATGCCACTCGCCACCAAAATGTAAACGGGTACCTGGCGATTGACAGTGCCGAGGGAGCAGCAGTATCGATACTGATGTGACTACGCTTGCTTAGTAAGACTAAATTATTTACTTGCTGAAGATTCAATAGTTTTCTTTTTCTCTTCAAGTCCCAATTCCCTTAGGAACCTAAAAGATATATTTTACCTGACGTAAATATATTTTAAGGGATTAGTTTGGCTTACGGAATTGGAAATCCCATATTAATAACATCTTAGCCTAACCATTAAATGTTTTTACTTAACTTATTCTAATTACAATATTATTACCATATGCAAGTACGAGATGTCCTTTGATACGCTGCATCTTCCTGTAATTTGATATTGTACTGGGCTATAATGTGACATTTATTGGGATAATTAGATAGGACAATTAACACAGCCTTAAAGGGATAGTTCAGTTTTGTTGCAGAGGGCGCTACACAACATATTTTGTTGTGAGATAATGAAAAACTGAGTGTCAAATTTGAAGGAACATACAATCTGAATGACTAAATCATCTTTGTTTGATCAAAATCGGTTCAGAGACGGCTGAAATATTCATAAATATAACCATTTATAATATGTGTGGGGCACCACAAATATTCGATAATTCTGAACCTGCCGTTGAAAAAAAAAATAGCGCCTCATACGTTTTTTATATAGCCAATGCCGATTGGCTTTTTCGTGTCGATTATAATACGCACAACCAGCCGGCCCGCGTGTAGTTATTATTAATTCATTATTCGTTGATACGTACGATGAAGATCAAGTGAGACAATTTTACTTTTTTAAACGTGTACAAACAGATTCATTGTTATTCATGAACATGACATTTAATTGTTTAAGAATATGAATCTTTGTATATATTGAACACAAATCTAGCAAATGTTTTTTTTTCTGAAAAAATTGATTGTCTAGATACAACTAAGCACATTTTGCGTTCTAAAAGTTACAAGGGATTTAAGTTCTATTTTTGTTTAAACTAATCATCGAGATGTAGGAAAAACACACTGCAAAGTTGTATAATTAGTTTTTAGATTACAAAAGTTATCAGAGTTATGGTTAGACGTACGTCAGCAAATAAACCATTATCATTTAATGAAAAGAGGAAGAAAAATTATTTGGGATTACGTTTTAAACAACAGCGTATACTATTGTATTCAGGGCTAATACGGATTGTGTGTGTGTTTGTGTGTGTGATATATACCCATTTGTCGGACCAAATCGTCACTAAAAAAGACCTCCTGAAACTGGCAGGTTGCCTTCATGCAGACTCCTACACGGAGGTCGCCATTAACTTAGGAGTTACGACACCATCAGAAAGCAAATGGCATCTTCATTAAAAGATGGTAATCTCAAAGTGGAAACGCAAAGAGGATGCTGAAAAAGTCAGAGATTTTGATAAAGACTGAATTGAAGCTCATTGTGGAGGGCTAACTTATAAAAATGTGTAACTGTAGTATCAACAATATTATGAAAAATGAGCGCGATCGCAAAGACTTGCGAAAGTAACATCATTCTCATGGGAATTTTGATAGGCTTTGTCCATCACCCATTGGAATGAATTAACAATGCTGCCAATGACGTATATTACGAAATGTAAAGCTGATTTCGGAGGGATACACGATGAGATATTGAATGTACAGTTTGGTTGAATTGTCGACAGTAGCGATCGTGTAAATGCAAAATATCATAGTTGAACCTTCTGGGACTACCGTAATTTAGCAAGGTGGTAATCCGCATTCATAACTTTCTTATTAGTTATCTGATTTTGCTTAAACTTTTTTTGATTGTTTTGTCTGATTTGTCTGCTTTTATTGAAAGTAATTTATTTTTCGAGTGGACTTGTCCTTTAGGATAGGGGTGGGGTTGGGGTGCCAGAGCTTTCTCGGTCTTTGTTGGTAGCGCATTATAGGACATGTCAATTTTTTCGAGCAAGCACATAACAAAACAAAATGACACCCACTACTACCAAATGGGCCAAACTGTGTGTTCGTTGGCTCTTTGGCATAGACGAAGACAGGGACTGCTTTTCAAAGAATAAACTGCTTCACAGTTCAAAGTGCACTTGCACTGTTAATTACAATGCCTTGGATAACTAATTTTAAAGAAACTATCAAGTTACAGATATATTTACAGTATGATATTTATCAGACATTATAATATCGTGTCAGAATTATGCTCTTAGATTATGAGTATTAAGATTATAAATGTTCTCAATAATCCAGGTAGTATATAATAAAACAAATAATAATAACACGAACATTTTATATAAAATGTTCAAAGTGCTGTACACAAATCAAGATTACTTCAAGAAAAATCAATATTGCTAATGCAATTAAAATTAGTTAAATTACCAAAATTATGAAATATTACTTAAATAACTGAAGAAATTAACATAACATGTAAATTCCTGGAAAAGTTAACAAATTATATCAATAATAGCAACAATATTGCTATCATTAAGTGTTATAAATATTCAACTGAATTACTATGTTTTAAATTGCGACGATTGAGTTATACTCCAGGACGCATGTTCATAGCATTTGATTTTATTCAAAGTCGGTGCGTTTCCTTGCTATGAAGTTTTTTGGAGAAATATTTTGTTAAAGGCTTTACAAGATAGGCCTATACTAAATTATATTACTCAGAGCTATATAATTTGTTAAAGAGATTCGTTTTGATTTGGATGCACGCTTACATGTGTATGTATTAGCAAGGAACAAATTGATAAATTGATATTTCAGCAAAAAACTTAGAGTTTCGGTAGACGTCTTGGATGAAGCATAGCAACAAATCATGGGTACAAGTAGTGAACAAGATAATAAAAATAAGGATAAAATGAAATATGAAAGAGAAAATGAGTAGAAAAGGATGAAATTTATTTTTAAAAATCTGTTCGGCATTATATTATTTTGCAAAACAGTCAAAATAAAGTTCAAACCCTTTTTACACTTTATCAAAGATTCCCTTAACATTATTTAAACTAAATAATTGGAAACAAAACAATCTTACTCGGGCGCATACCAAATAGTGAACAATTTTTTGTTCTTCATTTTGTTAAAGAAAATCTGTTGTGCAATACTAATATGTATTACAATAGTGATTAAAGCAAACATGTTGATAGTAATAATAATTGTTATCACTGCAACGAACAAAACAATAACAATAATATTGAAGGCCACATGTATCCGTACTAAACTGTGTAAAAAATAACATCCCTTTCGGATCAAAACAGATAAATATATACATAAATGTGTATTCGATCTTTAAAAATCCGCAAAAATACTCTACTCGTAAAAAAAAGGGTTACAGGAAAAGTTGGAAAAACCCAACATAAATGGACTTAAAGAAAACATGGAATCTATCATTAATTCATGTCATATACATTTACTATAGTAGAAATGTAATAAACGCCATTGCATCGAAGAACAGAGAATACCCCCCCCCCCCCTCCCTCCCCCCACCACCCTCCTTCTAGAAGCACGACTGACTCCTGCCATGCTTCATGTATTTACTGACTGGATGGAAAAAGATCATCAGCAAGACGATTTTTTCCAGATTGCTCCAAGGCATTCTTCAAAGCTGCTCGCTCAGTAAGATTCGTTTGACGTTCTCGCCAATCCCGGAGCATTTGAAGAGTTCCATCATACGTTATATTCTGAGATTTGTGATTAGTTGCGTTGTACCCTTCAATATCTTCTGGAGAAAATCCAAGTTTCCTTCCTAATTTGTCGATTTCTAAGTTCTTGCGGACTCTCTTTGCAACTTCCTCCAAAATATCGTCGAAATCTTTGGTTGAGGTAAGACGACATGGCGACGGAAAATGAATACAAATATCAAGAAAAAAAGAAATATTGATTTAAAACCAAGTTCGGTACTCCTCTCGTGACTAATTTGTTTAAGAAAATAACTGACTGCAAGTTATTGGGAAAGGATTATGTAGTGCATGATAGGTGTTGTAAATTGTAAGGCTTTAAAATCATCAAAAATGATAATAATTCTGCATACAATCTTGATAAAAGTCATTGGCGCTCTATAAAGCAATTGGGTATGGGACTACACATGCGGAATGAAAGTTTGGTCCAAACGCTTTGTCCAAAACAATTAAATATTTGGAAAGCAAACCTTTCATTTAATTTCCTTTTCAGGGGCATTTCTGTTTTACTTCTACTAAATGATCGTTAATTTCAGATAAAACGACACTAGGCCTATCAGGAAACTTGACATTGTGTCGTTCTAGGAACATGTTTAGAGTCTGAAAGTATCAGTAAAGACTGGACTGAAAAGGGCTCGTATCGGTACAATAGTTATTTTATGAACCCGATATTTTTTGAAAGAGGTTCAATGTAAACTATTGCTTAGATCCAGAACTGATATACATTATAATAGAAATAAGGCCGAAATACTTGTATATCGTGAATATTAGGGGCGACTTATCATCCCGTTCTTTTTCTCTTATTCATTCTATTACAATAATAAAAATATGACTTTAGATTCGTAGTACCTTTTTGTGGATAATTGGAAGTAGAAGAAGTAACATCAGTATTCGAAGTAGCAGTAATAGTAGTAGTAATAGCAGCAGCAGCAGCAGCAGCAGCAGGAGTAGCAGTAGCAGTAGAAGGGCTATTCGTTGTATTAGGTAATAGCATCAATGGTGTAGTGACATCTGTAACATGAAAAAGATTATGGAATCCTGATTACTATCATTATATAACTTTGCATGATCAATCAGAATAGACATTACTCAAAAATATGTTTTAGGTGGTAGATCGTCGATTGGTGAAACATTATGGCCTGTATTCTGAAGTCGTGTCTAACTTAGCCACGTCTAAAGTTAAACAACTGTTTAGTTAGACACGACTTAAACACGAGGTCGTGTCTAAGTCCTGTCTAACTAAACAACTGTTTAAGTCCATCACATTCTTCCTACGTCGGAAAGCCATCACCACGACATACATGCTAGGAGACACTCCTCTTGCATTGGTAACAGATCTCCGGTATCTAGGACTGACTTTCTCATCCAACTTGTCCTGGCAAGGCCACCTGAACAACATCACATCCCGAGCCAATCGGATGCTGGGACTAGTCAGCAGAAATCTCCGCAAAACCTCACAAAAGATCCGCCAACAAGCCTACTTCTCTCTTGTTGGACCTCATCTGGAATACTGTTGCTCGGTCTGGAACCCTCGCACAAACAAGCATATATCCAAAATCGAGGCAGTACAAAGGCGAGCAGCAAGATTCACCCTCCAGAGATATCGTCGTATGGCCAGTGTCTCGGCCATGATTCAACATCTGAAATGGGAGAGCCTGGAGAGGAGAAGAAATGCTGCAAGCCTCAATTTCATGTACAAGATCCAAAACAACACAGTAGCCATCAATGTACACCATTAAACATCACCCATGATTGCCAGCAACACACGACAGTATCACTCGAAGAAGTTGCTGGCTATCCCTTCCCGCACCCAGCTCTACGAGAATTCATTTTTCCCTCGGACAGTTACTGCGTGGAATGCACTTTCAAAGATCACCCTTTACGCTACTTTACTGGAGGGCTTCAAGGGAGCGCTTCCACCCAGCATCTAGACCAAGAACTAGATAGTTTGTTCCTCAGCACTATACATCCTGACTTATGGATCCTGCTGAGTACCGTCGTAGAAGTAGAAGTAGAAGTAGAAGTGGTGTTTAACTAAACAAACCCAATGCGCATGCGTGCGCCCACCGGATAAAAAAAAATTAACGCGCACAGCTAGCTGTGCGCGTGCTGGTACCATGGTGATGTGATTATGACGTAATGACTAGACTGCATGTACTATACTGTGTGTACGTACGTACGTACTGCATGCACTGTATACATGAGATTGACAAACATAATACTTATCAGTGCCTCATCTCAGTGCTCGGAAGAACCAGAAAAGAAACTTCTCCTACAGAATGGTTAGTTTATTATAGATTATGGAATTTCCAAGATGTCACCAGTAGATAAGAATAGTTAATATTATCGAGAAAAAAAATTAGGCTACACGAGAAAAAATCCTGCAAAACGTATTTGAAATTTTAGAGAAATTTAATGCACGTACCATCGTTCTCCTCCGCAAGTTCGGGGTCAGCAAGTACAGTGTACCGTCGACGTTGAAAAGCAGCAGAATCGCGCCCTTAAACAGGACTTAAACAACCCCTCGCAGAAGTCTAAAGTTAAACGGGACTTAGACAGGACTTCGTGTTTAACTTTATTTAAACACGACTTCAGAATACGAAAAAAGTTAGACACGACTTCGTGTCTAAAGTTAGACGAAACTTAGACAAGACTTAGACAACTGTTTAGTTAAACAGGAGTTAGACACGACTTCAGAATACGGGCCTATAGGTTTCAATGGGCATTATTACCCCGGCTTTAGCTCCGGTTAACCGTAGTGCTAATTACATTCAGGAAATATATCCCACCTGGTTCCCAGTACATATGGTAAAACCTGGAGGGTCGAGTGTGGAAAATTTAGATCGACGTCTTGCCAAAAGACGTTATTGCTCGGCTGCAGGTATGCGAACCTCATAGCTCACTGTCCAGACAGGTGCGTACGCGTGTGTTTTGGAGGAAACCCCCCCCCCCCCGCCTCATTTTTTTGTTTAATAAACAAAATATATAGTAACAAACAAAAATTGTGACCTTACCCCTCTCCCGGAACGAAATATCGATTGGTCAAAGTTTCAAATGTTCGGGACAAAAACAAAAATATATACCCCGCTTATTCAGCGGCTGGCTGAGTTGTTGCGAAATTTTCGGTGCGATTTTCAAATTTTGAAACCCCCTTCGAGAATCCTGCGTATGCGCCTGTGTCCGGAGACTTATACAAATAATCATAACACGTCTTCATACCTTGATCTTGTTCGGGATCACCGTTGTTCTTATGAGGAGTTGTGGGATCTCCCTCTGCTGCTAGGAAAAAATTACATGCAATTAAAAAACTAAGTGGGTTTTTCAAGGTTCTGTTTCGGTTGTGGGTGCAGAGCTGAATGGTCTATTGTTATTATCACAAAATATGTAAAATTTGTTGGGTAAGTCAAGTGACATTACTAAAGATATATTGGTTGAGTAGTAGAGCATTTCTTTAGCGCGTTAGAACATTAAATTTTAATTAGATGATTATGTCGTCATGCAAATAATCCTTTACTTGTTTTGACTGAAAACCTCAAATTAAAGTCTCCACTCAATAAATTGAATGCTAAAAATGCGATGAAAATATTCATAAATAATTATAGATATGTAGACATATTATGAACTAAGAGGTATAATAATACCACAAAATATGTAACTATAATTATATAGAATCAATATTATGATTGTAATGTAACTGTGCAATGCCAAAGTTATTATTTCCAGACCACAGTGAAATGTTACCGCAATCAGGTAATGGACAAACTACCATAACGAATTTTTAACAATGCCCTCATACCGATTATACGACCCTATGCTTCGGAGGCATTTGTTTTGTGTCAATTAATTGCAAATAAGTGGCTTAGAAACGTCAAAGTTTGCCCTTACTCTGCACCTAAACCTAACCCTAAACATTTGAAAACCAAGGTCCTAACTCTCTTTCTGACGATTTATATTGACGTTTATTGAAATTGCTTTCGGTGGCTTACCAAATATCAACAGCATTGTAATAACGACATTCTCATATTCAACATTATCATCGTAAATACTCAAATTAAGATATCAAGAGATATGGGAGAGAAAATTATAGAAAGGAGTGAAGGAGGGAAAAAGGAAGAGAGAAGCATATGAACGGGGAAGGCAGGGATGTATAAAGCAGGCTGCTAGAAATAACCACATGTTGGTTAAAAGAAAAAAATATTTCAAACAATCATAATCTATATTTCAAGTTTCCGTTTTCCTCTTGATAAAATTTCGGCGACGAATTGAGAGTTTTGGTAGAAATCTTGGATATCTTGGTTACAGAAAAAATGACATCTATGCACATTTAGTGAAAAGATAATTATGATAATAAGGATTAACTTATTTTAAACAAATAGGGAAATTGAGTTAAACAAAAAAAATGTAACATTAAATTACACATCTGTCCGGCAGTATTTTCATTTCCAAAACAGTCATGATTAAAGTCACTTCCCTATCGAAACGTTATTAAAAAATTACCTCAACATTTGTTAAGCTTAAAGACTCTCTATCGGGCACTTACCAAATGTAACGAAGACATGTTTCATTTTTTAAAAGCTATACTGTTTTGTAATAATAAGTGTTTCAAAAATGATGATTAAAAATATGATTGCCTTACTATCATATTAAAAAAAAAAAAGTGTCATCATTATTATCATACATTTTGCCCGGTTGTCTCAGTTTCGCTCGCTAGACGTATATAGCAGACGACAATCGGCGGATTAGACGACACTTGGTAGTGAATTTGTATGTGAGATTGCTTTGATAAATATAAAATACAAGAGTGTGTATTGGGTTTTTACAGACGTGTATCAATCAGATCTGATTATTTTCGTGTGGGGACCGACCTTTAAACGTCACCATCCGAAAGACGTGACTCAGTTTCGAACCTGCGTCCTTGGCTGAATCAGTTTGTAACTTCCACTTTTAGCTGGATTACAGGCGCACGCCACAACGCCTAGTCAGAACATTTTCCATATCTTTAAACTATCATTGATATTTTATAATTAAACAGTTATTAAAATAAAGCTACAAACTACATAATACAATAAAATACTTGACTAAAAGTAGGGGAGTTTGATGTGGTGCATAATTGCACCCCTCTGTAAATAATCGAATAGTCCATGGTGATCATGAATATTCATGTTTTTGCTTACCTTGGCAAAATGTTTTTGTTTTTTTCTAACTGGACAAAAATTACGGTGGGGGTAGGATGAAATGGACATAATGAACCAAGCAGAAGTGATCTATAATAATTCATGCTTCATATCCTTCGTGTGCTTGAAATATAATCTTACAATCTCTCGTCAAACTGAGTCTAAAGTTCGACTTGTTGCACATGTGTTATATAGGCAATGGCGAGCTTGCAACCTATTTTGATCAAATTACGGGTGAACTTTCAAAAATCTATTACACATGAGGGTTCCAATGAAAGAGCTAGTGATAACGTACGTCGGGGTGGATGTGCTTTTCGTGTAAACAAAACAAATGAATTTTTAACGATTTGGGGGTAAAATGCCATAGGCTAACATGTAAGGCTGTTGACTCTGACGATAGGGGGCGTTGTCAAATGAGATTGAACGGAGCTATATGTATTTCTTTTTCATAGCAATAACAGTAATTAGCCCAATCATGATAATGAAAAAACAATTAAAAGCCACTTTTATCCTTATTTAACTGCATGTAAAAGAATACCCCTTCCGGGTCCAAACAAAGAAATAAAGACATATCCGTATATAAGCAATTAAAAAAATCCGCAAAAATACTTAACTCGTGAGACAAGAGTAATAAAAGAACGATTTAAAACAAAAAATATTTGAATTCTAAGAAAAAGTGAAACCTATTAATCGATGTCATATAAATCTACTTTGGTAAACATTTAGAAAACACCATCGCATCAGGGAACAGAGCGTGCGCCCTCCCGTTCCCTTTTTCTAGATCCTTGACTGCCTTGCTCTATGTATTTACTTACTGAAGGTAAACAGATCATCAGCAAGACGAATTTGTCCAGATTGCTCTAAAGCAGTCTTCAAAGCTGCTTGCTCAGTAAGATTCGTTTGACGTTCTCGCCAATCCCGGAGCATTTGAAGAGTTCCATCATACGTTATATTCTGAGTTTTGTGATTAGTTGCGTTGTACCCTTCAATATCTTCTGGAGAAAATCCAAGTTTCCTTCCTAATTTGTCGATTTCTAAGTTCTTGCGGACTCTCTTTGCAACTTCCTCCAAAATATCGTCGAAATCTTTGGTTGAGGTAAGACGACATGGAGACGGAAAATGAATACAAATATCAAGAAAAAAAAGAAATATTGATTTAAAACCAAGTTCGGTACTCCTCTCGTGACTAATTTGTTTAAGAAAATAACTGACTGCAAGTTATTGGGAAAGGATTATGTAGTGCATGATAGGTGTTGTAAATTGTAAGGCTTTAAAATCATCAAAAATGATAATAATTCTGCCTACAATCTTGATAAAAGTCATTGGCGCTCTATAAAGCAATTGGGTATGGGACTACACATGCGGAATGAAAGTTTGGTCCAAACGCTTCACTTATTTCTTGACATATTTCGAACAATTAAATATTTGGAAAGCAAACCTTTCATTTAATTTCCTTTTCAGGGGCATTTCTGTTTTACTTCTACTAAATGATCGTTAATTTCAGATAAAACGACACTAGGCCTTTCAGGGAACTTGACATTGTGTCGTTCTAGGAACATGTTTAGAGTCTGAAAGTATCAGTAAAGATTGGACTGAAAAGGGCTCGTATCGGTACAATAGTTATTTTATGAACCCGATATATTTTGAAAGAGGTTCAATGTAAACTATTGCTTAGATCCAGAACTGATATACATTATAATAGAAATAAGGCCGAAATACTTGTATATCGTGAATATTAGGGGCGACTTATAATCCCGTTCTTTTTCTCTTATTCATTCTATTACAATAATAAAAATATGACTTTAGATTCGTAGTACCTTTTTGTGGATGATTGGAAGTAGAAGTAGTAACAGCAGTATCCGAAGTAGTAGTAATAATAGTAGTAGTAGCAGCAGCAGCAGCAGCAGCAGCAGCAGGCGTAGTAGTAGCTGTAGAAGGGCTATTCGTTGTATTAGGTAATGGCATCAATGGTGTAGTTACATCTGTAACATGATACAGGTTATGGAATCCTGATTACTATCAATACATAACTTTGCATGATCAACCAGAATGGATATTACTTTAAAATATGTTTAAGGTGGTAGATCTTTGATTGGTGAAACATTATAGGTTTCAATGGACATTATTAACCCGGCTTTAGCTCTGGTTAACCGTATTGCTTATTACATTTAAGGAATAGATCGACGTCTTGCCAAAAGACGTTATTGCTCGGCTGCAGGTATTCGAACCTCACGGCTCACTGTCCAGACAGGCGCGTACGCAGGGAGGGGGGGGGGGGGTGGTTTGGGGGTCGCCCCTTCTCAAATTTGTGTTATGCGTGAGTTTTGGAGGAACCCCCCCCCCCGCCTCATTTTGTGTTAAATAAAAAATATATACAGTGCGTCCCAGAAAAAACAAAACCGAGAATTATCGATGTTTTATCATAACTTAGTCACATTTACAATTGATAAATGACACATATTTGAAAAGCTGAGATCCTCTTCTTTCATTTGATGTAACTCATATAATGCATATTTCACGCATGAGTGATTAAGATGAATTTGAAGAGAGGAAACCAAAAATTCATTTGGCGGACGGTATCTGAATTTCAAAGAGAAAATCACATTTCCAGAAAGTTGAGTTTCTGTCCTTTCATATGACACCTCAATCACGAAAAATGAGCAAGGAATGACAAATTTCTGTATGTTTAAAGTAATGCTTGCATTTCCATAATTTTATCAAACGAATTCGTTTTCACTGGCTGCCTGCCGTAGCAAATAACAGAATTGTCAAAAGACTTAACTCCGTTTCGTTGACAATCAGCCATGCATGAAGTCTTTTCTTTACGGCCGATTGTCAACGATACGGAGTTAAGTCTTTTCTTAATTATGTGTGTTGCTAAGGCATCAATGGTGTTATTAGGTAATGGCATCAATGGTGTAGTTACATCTGTAACATGATACAGGTTATGGAATCTTGATACTATCAATACATAACTTTGTATGATCAACCAGAATAGACATTACTTTACAATATGTTTTAGGAGGTAGATTTTTATTGGTACAATATTATAGGTTTTAATGAACATTATTACCCCGGGTTTAGCTCCGGTTAACCGTAGTGCTTATTACATTCAAGGAATATATCCCACCTGGTTCCCAGTACATATGGTAAGAACCTGGAGGGTCGAGTGTGGAAAAGTTAGCTCGGCTGCAGGTATTCGAACCTCATGGCTCACTGTCCAGATACTTATACAAATAATCACAACACTTCTTCATACCTTGATCTTGTTCGGGATCACCGCTCTTGTTCTGAGGAGTTGAGGAATCTCCATCTCCTGCTAGGAGAAATTAAAATGCAATGCAAAGACTATAAGTGGGTGTTTCAAGCTATTGTTTCGGTTGTGGGTGAAGAGCGGAATGGACTATTGTTATTATTACAACATGTGTAAAATCAGGTTATGTTACCAAAGATATTTTGGATATAAAATAATTTGTGTTTGGGTTTTTTGCACATTCTAAAATGATTCTTGTTAAATTTAAATAATAATGGGGTAGGAAGGGGGATACGGATATTTGTGGGGTTAAATCTTACACAATATTTGGTCAAAGTTACGCAGACTTTAAGATAAAAAGCATGTTCCCTCTTTAACCCGACTAATTTAGACTGCTATATTGAGTCATTTCGAAATACTTTCAAATCGGAATTAGGTTTATGTTTTCGAGTAGAAAAAAAAGTCACCTCGTTTTTTCAAATAGTAGATCTTTAGGGTGATAATCGCCAGCAAGATGCATACAAGCAGTAGAATGCCTATTGTTATCCCGGCGATTTGACCACTAGTCATTCCCTTTTCTGGTGTGCCACAAGGAAGGACGAAAAGTTAAAGAAAACAAAATATTATGAAACAAAAATTAATGTAACTAGGATAATCATGTAAGTGTTGTCTTCTGAAGGTATTCGTTCGATATCTTCATGTGTAAACAACAATAATGATTTGGATAACAATAATACAAACAATGATAATAAGGTTGGCTTTCAAAAGTGCAAAATTGAACGGAGGATCTCGTCACGCTTAGCAGTACATGTACTAAAAGAAATTAATGCAATTTCATACTTACAGATATTTACAGATTAATTCCTATGTAAAAGATAATGTATCATGATATCTATAAATAGCATTAAGTCAAATATTAACATCCATTTTATACTATATATCATTAACAAGATAAGAGTATCCTTCTAACGCGCAGAAACAAAACCATTTTTAATTAATTTTCCTATGATAAATATAGGCACACAAATGATCTCCCTATACCACATTGTATTAATCATGAGAAAGATATACCAAAGCTTTCATTAATGTTTCCAGTGCTAGATGAAATTTTGCAAAATCATATTATTTACACAAAACAATCCTGACATCACTTAGAGTATGAAATTGTGTGCAAAATTCCACGTGTGGCGAACGAGCGACAGTGCAGAGATGCGCAGAAAGCAACCCAAGTGTTAAGTACCAATTTTCGCATTTTTATTTTAAAAAAAAACATACCTGCGGGTGGTGTTATCAATACTTGAATTGATACCGCTGTGTTCTCTCTTCCGTTAGCCGAAAGATATGTGGCGTTACAGGTAAAGTTTCCTGTTTCAGACACCTGAATATGTCGACTGATATCAGCGGTCCCGTCATCGTTCTGCGTTACTTCATCAGTATATGATACACGTTTTCCATCCTGGTACCAAATGAGTTCGGTATCTTCAACAGGATAAACGTTGGGGAGTACGCAGGTAAGGGTGGAGGATTGGTTGGCTTGAATAATGCAGGATGCGGACTCGCCGGTGCAATTTGTGATCACTGGAAGCGTATCAGGGCGAAGACCTTAATTGAAATATGATTATTAATAATGATAATGATAATAATAATGATAATAATAATAATGATGATAATAATAATAATGATAATAATAAGAATAAAAAACCGCTCCAATGATTATGATAATACCACTAATGATTATCATAATGATATAGATACTGATATTAATAATAGTATTCATCATGTTGTTATTAGAATTTTAGATTATTTTAGATTATCATGTTACTACTATTCTTCCTGAAGGACCTGCAGTAATAGCCACATAATTTGCCCAGTACCATATATATACAAAATAGTCCAGAGGGACAACATTTGCATTAATGCACACATTTCCAGTAGCCTCATACATTGGCACTTCCAAAAAGCTGGATGCCATTTAAAAATCAGTCTGGTTGCAAAAGGTACTATAGCCATCCAAGTTGTGCTTTGTAACTTGCAAACAGTGTGCAATATGTTCGGTTCCAAAAAGTACTATATCCAATTTCGGTTCCAAAAAATACTACATCCACAAAAATTGTAAAAACATAAATTCGTGAAAACTATTTATGCAGACTTAGATTTTGTTTAAAAAAGTGGTTTTATACTTGTATCATACAATAGTTTAATCAGCCAAAGTATCATCCCAAACTGACATTGCTATTAAACTATGATAATACAACAAAATTAATCATGTTTTTTTCAGAATTTGGATTGATGGATGAAATACTTTTTGGAGTTACCACTCTCAGCCCAGATGTCATGGAAACTTGGCAATTACTTGGGATGGGATAATTGTAGGACTTTCAGCAAGAAAAATCATGGTGCTAATGAGGCTTCCGTGGTAATCAAAGTTATTAATATTATTAATATCAAACAAAACTGCTCTAATGTGGCCTGGAGGTCTATGTTTTATGCAAAAGTGTAACTGTTCTATAAATGATGTCATAATCTATACTTGTTCTTGATTGTCAAGGAGATCAGCAAATAAACTTACTGAAAACATTGAGCTTGGTGTTAATATTGGGCACTGGCGTTTGCCCTTGCCGGTCCACGTCACATCGATAAATCCCCTCATCAGCCACGGCTATGTCTTTCAGGATAAGCGTCGCATTGTCATTTTGCAAATTTGCTCGATCTGCATATTCTGGATCTATAGCTAAGACTCCCTCGCGAAGGAACAATATCTTCTGAGGCCCAGTGCCATCGTTGTAATACCAGTATATATTACGTAACGTGCCTTCCCCGAAGACACATGGTATGTTGACAGTGTCACCGGCCGTCGTGGAAATGTCTGGAGAGCTTCCGAAGACGCTGACTGCGGCCCATGTCAGTAAGAATAGTACGAAGATAGCTGAGTAGAAAAGACAGAAACCAATAAACTGCGCATGTATTTTCAGATCGCAATAGCTGTACAGACACGTTATTGAATAGAAATGTTTGTACCCTGTTGGGACATTGCGTTCGGTGAGCAGAGTGGTTCCGGAGACGCTGACTGCGGCCCATGACAGTAAGGTAATTACGAGGGTAGCCGAGTTGATAGGACAGAAAGAATGAACTGAGAATCTATTTCTAGATCGAAATAGCTGTACAGACACGTAAATGAATAGAAATGGTAATACCCTGTTGGGACGAAGCGGGCGATGAGCAGAATGTGATGGTGTCGGTCAGTGAAAATGTTCTTGAGAGCGTTTATTTTGTTTTTGTTCTCTGTCTCTTTGTTTGCTCTCATTATATTTCTCCCCCACTTTGTTTATCTTCCCCATCCTTCTGCCTATCTCACATCCACCACAAATGAAAATTAGAAAATATAATAATATTCTGGTTTAACTCATATCCTGTCATAGGGATGTATGCATGCTACATGCGAGCCACAATTGCTTGCACGCATTCGTAGTAACAGTTATTGTTCATGCTCATTAAACTGTACGTGATGTGTGTTTCGCACGCGTTATTCATAGTACCATCGCGTTAAACAGATTATCTCAAACTAAACTTGGCTCGGGGGGATTTGTGGCTT